TTATGATAAGATGGTTCCAATGGAGATGCGTACTGACAGCACACTTTTTTACCTATGATTGATATATGAGGGCTTTATTGGGGTATCGGTACTAGTCCCATGATAAATGTATCAAGGGGCCGTCCATAAATGACGTCACGCACCTGGGGGGGGGGGGTCAGACATTTGTGACGATGTGTGACGAGGGGGGGGGGGTGTTTGAGAAATGTGACGTCACATCAAAATGCGCAACTTTAAATAAATATAGACGACATGTTCTACTTAATTAAATAGACTTTTTGATAAATGTTTTCTCCTACAACATCAGAATGCAGCGTCACATTAAATACGCACTACAATTTTTCTCAAGGCCAAAACGTGTTATTGTAGAACGAAACAGCTTTAATTGGAAAGCATTAGATGACTAGAATATTGCTGTACTGCACTGGAATACATTTTGATGACATAGACAAAACGTAACAAAATTATGCAAAACTGCGTACAATATTTCACGTACCGTATGCTTGTATTACATATACACATACTACTGTACTGGAAATATGAAGACAGTAGATATTTACTAGTTATTGGAATAATTGAATTACTCGAACTTAGAGGTGATGTTAAGAGGAAATACAGAAGCTGTATTTGTAAATATTTAATGTTTCAGTAAAAGGTTTAAAAATCTAGGCTGAATCATCATAAAATACTTGAACACTACAATAAAATGAACTTGGCAGCACTAAACACACCTTCGTGTATTATGGCTTTTAGTAGCTTTATCTTTTATCCAAAACATTTTAACAGATTGTTATTTTGACTTGGTTTCACAATTGTTACGCTGCATACTGTTAAAGAAAATGTAAAACATATATACAGTATTGTAAATGTACAAATACCAATAGCCTTTTTCACGACAGAGAGACCGGTACAACATTCACACAGCTGCATATTCACTAAGTGCACCTAAACCAAATGTGTGTTCAACATCAAATGGTCGAGTACAAAGTGTTTCGCGAGAATGTGGTGTTGTTTGTGTATTCACAAGGAGGGGGAAGTGAGATCTATAAAGTTATTGTGTGCAAACCGTAAAGCACTTAACTTTGACGTGGGCACCACATACAAACCACAAAGGTGAAGCCCTGAATATATCTTAGGGGCGCGCCACGGTGGCGAGATGTTAACTCCGTCGCCTGGTATACATGAGGTTCTATCCTGACCCCGACGCCTGTATGATCTCCGGGTCCTCCGATTTTTCCCTCCACATTTAGAAACGTGCATTTAGAGTATTTGGCAGCTATAACATTTGCACACGATGAGCCACTTTGTTGAGCTACACTGTGTAACAAAATATATATGTTTTTGTTCTTGGGTACTAAGTGTTATTTTCCATTTGCTTATGGCTCAAAAGTACAGAAAATGGCTATTGTTCCCCACAAACTTTGCTTTTGTGACCAGGACCATGATATTTTGAAATGGACCTATTGTCAATGAGAAAACGTGGTGTGCATTTGTGTCATTCCTTCACGTAAAGTCCTGGTCACAAAAGGAAAGTTTATGGGGAATAACAATAGCCATTTTCTATACTTTTGAGGCATAAGCAATTAGAAAATAACACTTACTACCCAGGAACAAAAATCGTGTTACATAGTGCTATCATTTGTGGCCAGGTCGCTTCTGAAGAAGTGCTATATACAGTAGCTCAGTGGGCCTTACCTACCAGGAGATGGGATCCCCTGACCTCTGGATTTATAAACACCGCTGTGTATGAGCATTAAATAAACGTATTCGAGCCTTGCGTTTTGAAATTAGCTGCATGCGTGACGACTGCGTACCGTTTTCCACTTGTGCTTGCTCAAAGAATGTCGGCACCGCGGCTCTTATCTGGCGCGCACAAAGAAGCCGCTCGTGCAGGTTCTCCAAAGATCTGCAGCGCAACAGAGCCGTGAGCCTGTGACGTCACAATAGGCTCATTAGCATGCGGCTCGACTCGGTTTTCCCGCCCGAAGGAACCAGCGAAGAATTGCGTATGCCGCATTTAATTTTGTCCATCTCACTTTTTCCCTGCGCACGATGAGACTGCCACGTGCCGCGCTCTGCACATTTGGCGCCGATTTCCAAGAGATGCACTAAACTTGAGAGCGGTGGTAATTAATGTGTTTCATTGTTCCATAATGTCTGCATTTAAAGTGAATGTTTTCTTAACATTAGGTATGCACTCTTCTGTCTAAATCATACCTGTCGACCCCTTATCAGTGTCGCCATCAGACCTTCTTGGTCACCCCGTGCCCTTATGATTCTCAACGTTCATCCTACAAAGGTCCCATCACAAGGGAGAAACACAAACAAATAGACTTTTCTTGCCCGCATTGAAACGGCTTTACGCCGCATGTACCTGGAAACTCAATTTCCCTGTACAAGAATACGGGTAGAACCGTATGGGTTGACAGGTGTGGTCTAAATGTTGAGAAAAGTTGCATAGTTCTAGAGTCATGATATATGCAAATTGCCAGATGAATAGTGGACGGCGTGCTGTTATTACAGTGGAAATTAACACCAGATAATTAAGATGTCGCTGCGTTAACTGTGTTAAATGCAGTAGTCACGTTGTTATGACGTGTAAACTTTGCGACATTTGCCAGAAATGTCGCAAAATTGCTTTGATAATTATATATGGAGTTCATGCAGTTGTGCAATTCATGTGACGTAATTAAAGTTGCAGCAAAGCCGTCGTTATCAGCCGCGATCCTAAGGGGCCATCCATTGATTAGGTACGCAAAATTCTGTCAAAACTTGACCCCTCCCCCCCTCCCTGTACGCACGCGGACTTTTTACACCTCCCCCCCCCCCCTGTGTACGCTTTACGCACCCAAACCCCCCGAATCCTATAGAACGGCCAATATTTAATCCACGCAGAAACTATCAAGGATTAATAATATTAACGTGTTTAAGCAAACAGATAGTCCACCGCCGGACTATCTCACTCATTTGAAGGCCAATGTAGACAAATTATTATCGAGGCTTCACCCCACCCCCCCCCCCCGCCGTTTTCAATGCGTACGTACATTGTCAGTAGACCCCCCATATACAGCCCCCCACAACGTGCCTGCGATGATGATGTAATTACTAGCCTTTTGCCCGTCCAAGGACGGGTGTATTGCAGTAAATCTGAAACTTGCAAGCGAAAAGCAGACCGCCACGTGATATTCATTGCATCAATGCGTGCGCAATTTGTAAGGCCGCGTTGACACAGACTTATTTAATTTAAAGGTTATAATCCCTTGTTCATCACGACGTCCTTTTTACTTCGATGTCTCAACAACAGCATCACGGAGATCACGTGACGTGAGGGTTCTGCCTTTGTAGTGAGGGTTGTCAGTTGACGCCGAGGAGGGGGGAGGAGGCGCCTCGCCCCCCCCATGTGGAGTGACGTCACCCGCTGCGCTAATTATTATTATGAATGGGGGGGGGGGGTGTCCATTTGGAGGACGTCACCTTGCAATGATTATTAACGAGGGGGGCTGTTCTATGACGAGTTACGTCACCTGCTCATGACTATTAATGAGGGGGGGTCCATTTGGAGGACGTCACCTGCTCATGAATATTAATGAGGGGGGGGGGGGGGCTGGTCGATGTGGAGTGGAGTCACGAGCGTTGAGGACATTCCTGGGTGATCATAGTAGGCATATCCCGTGTGAGCGCCCCACCTCCCATGTGATGCCCGCGTGCTGCCCGCGTGCCACTGGGTGATTGGCGTCACGTGACGGCTGCGTCTTTCGGTGTGGAAAGTCGCGCGCCTCACCGCGTGCTCTGGGGCCCGGCTGGGTGGCCGTCGATGTCGAGAACGCGTTTTCTCTCTTTTGTTTTTACTCTCGCACCGCACGCACGCACGCACGAGTTTTCTAGCGGCGTTAAAGGCGAGCTGGGAAAACTGCCGATGGGGTATTAAAGTTGAAAAAGATTGATTGCTGCATATTTCAATTTGATGTTTTGTAAGCTTAAGAATTGATATTAATCAATGTATTTTTTTTTTTAAAAACGTCATTAAAAGCCTAGGTTATAAGCAGTGTGTAACATTGATATTTATCGATATGAATCCATTGATTAATGTGTTTGATTAATATTTAATTAATATTCAATCAATTGATTTTTTTATCAATTGATTAATATGTTACACACTTCTTATAACCTAGTCTTTTTTTCACACTAAACATTTTTTGGCAGAGTAACATTTCAAACAGCTGAATGGAATATATCTAAACTAATGCGATTGTTGAATGTCAACATTCATTGATTGTAGTCGACTCATAGCTGAATGGTGAACGGACTTGTGTTGCTGTTTGGGCTGAATGTCAGGCCTGAGAGTCACTCGCTGGGTGGGTGGTTGCCATGTGTGTGTCTTTTTACGATAAGTTTTTGTACTTTTTCGCAAAGCGGTAACAAAACGACGCGGGCCGCGAGCAGGTAGGCGCTTACCGGATCTACTGCTGCCCAGTTGCATTCAGCACACTCTCTCAGAGAGTTGATGATGTTTGCTCACGGTTCACAAGCGGTGCACTTTAGCCAGGTGTGGTTGGAATGCAGTGTACCGGAGGTAAGGATGGGTTGGATCACAAATATGCGGGTAGTGTACTTAACTGCATCCGATGTAGAGGAATATAGGTGACAGTGAGCTATTATACATTAAAACATAAGTTGCTGGCCTGTACAGTATATCGTTTGCATGGTTGGCACTCGTTTTTTTTGTTTTTCAAACCAAAGTAGTTTCTCAAAAATGTATTTGAATTAAAATGATTTTGGCCCAAATATTCCAAGCAGGGCACTCGTAGAAATTTTTTTGAGGCGATGCCTGCTTTTACATCGAATGAAATGCAATAACACATGACAAGTCAAAACTCTTTTGCTTTTTAATTTATAGAAAGGAGATGCTTGAAGCTAAATAGTCACTTTTTTTAGTCTTGAACTTGCGATAGTTCTATGAGGTCATAATGCCAAGTCACAGTGCACGACATAAACAAGGAATGCTTCAGTTCACTTTATATTCATTAAAAAAAAACATGACGTGACAAATCATGACGTTTAAAGCATTCGTTTTATCCGAAGCAAAAATACAAGTGCTCTGGAGTTTTGAGTTACAGTATTACATCCGTAATAGATCGACAGTTATGATTAATCAAGAAAATTAACATCAAACCAAGCGGCAATGAAAATTTAAACAAAAATACTATTTCAAGCAATTCAGCTAAAATTGTTACAAATTATAATTAAATACATAGTTTAGTTAACGTGCTCAAAATTTGCTGAAGATTAAATAGTTACATAAACCTCAATTCTACAGTAAAGATGGAGCGCACGCCATTGCTGGTGGAAGGGCTTCCACGACAGTGAGCTCGAGAGATGGTATTTGGCCTACTCTTCCACGCTGTCCGAGACTTTACCCCACCACGTGTGACCTTCTGATCGACTGGTGAGCCCATTGACACTGCTGGCGTCCTCTAGATTTTGTATGCAGTATATGAGCATTTTACCTGCGCTTAAGTGTTGAGCCTTTGCCGTGTGACATTCAGACGAACATTTAAATCGCTCGGCATCACGTGAGAAAACATTGTTTTATGAATCGAAGCCAAAAATTATAAGTTAAGTGTCCTCTTCAACGACACTTATAGACATGATTACGTACAATACAGTATATGGATGGCAACACAGATACCTACACATCTAAGTAACCAATATGTTTTGTTTGCGGGAAATGAGCATTTACTTGCATATGTGAATAAAGGCATGGGATCCTTGCTGTAGATCTTGGCTGATCATTTGGACGTACAATCTTACACGACTGTACTGGCAATCAGCCGGTGGAACACCGTACAGGAGCGACACATCATTTTCCGTGGTTTTGTGAGGGCCTAATGTGGCGGGTTCTAATATTCGCGGGGTTATCCGCGACATTACTCCTTATCCGCGAGGTTAAAACAAAAAGTGCAGATAATCGACGGATGATTGGAATAGGGCCGTGGATGATGGGCCTTCTCCCAAAACCTCCAGCTGCCGCGGATAACAAAAGTCGCGGAGGTTAACGGGGCCGCGGATAAAGAAGAGGTCTGCATTTAAGGCAATGAGGCCTGGAAGAGCTCCTGTATTGAATCTGTCGGGAGTATATTCAAGAACGTGACACTATTTGTTCATTGTGTAAAAACTGTATCCATAAGAATTTAAGACAAATTTACACTCAATCTAACACTAAGCCTTTTTATTGCTTACACGTGCATGACTTGTATGAGCCGTCACAATACAGTACGCTATATTCCTATTGCAACATAACCGTGTGTAACTGGGTTCAATATAAATGTTTCTATATTTTATAATCTCCAATTATTGACACCTTTCTTCCCATGCACTGGCAGTATTGCTCTAGACGTGTTCAAGAAGTGTCTCATTGAAGGTCTACAAATAAACAAGTGTGCACCGTTGATTTCATTGTAAATTAAGTCTTTAAAACAAATGCGAAGGATGGTTAATGCACATGACAGCTGTGCCTGTAAGACTATTGTTGGAAGTGCAAATCTGCAGCGTCTCGCCGTGCCTATTGCTCGTCGCGGCGTGGCACACTGCTGGTTTGCACTCCAATATACCCACGAATATCACGCGCTTTGCCTCCACCTCCGTTCTGCACAAGCTTCTCTTGTCCCCTTTTTGGAACGCGAACGCAACAAAATGCAGAATGGTGACGCAAGACTTTGCGAGCAGAACGGTCATAAACTCCTTTGCCTCACGACAAACACATCTCTACTTTAACCTTAACACCTTGCTGTATTTAAAAGGGAATTACTTGTTGATGATGAGTAGCATGATCACAGCTGCTTGGTTTTGCGTCTCAGAAAAAAAAACACGTAACGACGTCGCCGTGTGAAATTATCTGTGCATTTGTTTAACCACGGAAGCCAAGTAGAAGATTATAGCTGTTGGGTGACATTAACAGTGGAAAGGTGTAGAGTGCTTAAAAGTGCTCGTGGTCCACACTGCGAATGAAGCAATCTTGAGAAGCTTGTTGAGGTGAACGGCCTCTTAGTCCACCGTGGGTTGCCGATGGTGGGTGATCTCCACCTCGGTGTACATCAGCTCCTGCAACAAGCACAGTCAGCACCGTGGACTCATCATCCTGCTGGGCCACACTGCTTTGACTTTAACACATTCCTGCGGAGGGAGCTGGTGGGAACGTTGGGTTGCTCGGTCAATGGCCAGGGTCAACGGCGGCACCACGTGGTGTATTCCGAAAATATTTCCGACTGTGAGGGTGGGCACAAGCCGGCGTGAGTAGGTTAAACGTTGAGTTTTATAAGGGCACCACGGGGTGACCAGTCCCTCCCCACCCAACCCTACCCCTCCCACCCCCCACCCAGCCCCACCCCACCATCCCCACCCAGCCCCTCCCCACCATCCCCACCCAGCCCCTCCCCACCCTTCCCACCCAGCCCCTCCCCTCTCCACCCAGCCCCACCCCTCCCATTTTTGGATGCACGACGGACGGACACAATAGTCCCCTGTGGACTGGTGGTGTAACCAGGAGGTTCCTACCAGTATTATTCACATTTAAAAGTCTGCATTACAATCACGAACAGCACGGCATCACGACCATGCTACAGATATCTGCAGGTATCCCTGCAGTTTTAGTCAACACAATTGGTTTCTGTTATTCTCCATTAGAGTAGTAGATAAATGCCACTGATAGCTTCAGCAATTGTGGAGTAGCATCTATTGTCTACCATGGATGGACGGTGGGGTTGTGGATTAGCGAACGTTTGGTTAAGGGAAATTGTCTCAATTATGCAGTGCCGTTGAGCTGCAATGGATACTATTTGCCTCTCAATATCCGTGGGACGTGGTCCACGTGAACGTTGTGACTTGTGCAGCCGTAGGCATGGTCTATGGTCAATTTGGCTGCCAACAGTGTAGGTATGCCAGGGCCGTATTATCCAATAGGCACAATAGGTACTGTGCCGAGGGCCTTCGAAAACTAAAGGGTTTTGCGGAGAAAAATGTGACCGTGTTTTTTTGTTGTTTGTATGATTAAATATGTAACAAAGATATCATTCTTGAATAAATATATTTACATAGCAAGGATAGGCACTGTATATACAAAGAGGCAGAGTCATGTCAATGTTTTTTTCCATAAGGTGAGAGAGAAATTAACACCGGAGATGAACTTTTCGAGATTTTTTCATTTGACATGTGAGCAATAACATCTTAAAATGGTGTTTTTTGGCACAATCAAGCGAGTGACAGCAGCGGAAGTAGAAAACATGGGGCAGTAGCAGTACCAACTGTAGAGAGTTGTCATTGAAGGCCTACGAAACAGAAGTGCCTAGGTCCTACAAGAACCTTAATCCGGCCCTGAGGTATGCAACCTACCAATGTGGATAGTAGATTTAACTGGACTTCTCAATTAACATCATGCTAATCTCTCACATTAACATAGCCACTTCCGTGCCCTCTAATTTCTCAATTAACATCATGCTAATCTCTCACACTAACATAGCCACTTCCATGCCCTCTAACCTCTCACATTAATGTCATGCTAATCCCTCACATTAACATAGCCACTTCCATGCCCTCTAATTTCTCACATTAACATTATGCTAATCCCTCACATTAACATAGCCACTTCCGTGCCCTCGTTTAGGAGGCCACTTTCCTATCTTACAGTTACATGCTAATTTCTCACATTAACATCACTAGCCCCGGCCACTTCTTTATGACCCTTGGGCTACACTCATTTCAAACCTTTTAAAACAGTCTGCCTCAGCAGCAGGCCATGCTTTCCCACCTGATGACGGACGCTTGTGTTGCGCCCGAAACGTCGTGATTTATTTTATTTTTTACCTATGTGACTTTACCGAAAGAACCAAAGAGTATATCGGTATTATCACAGTAGTTTCTTATGGTCCCTGATATCACAATAATTGCAGTCTCTTTGCATTGGCTGAGATAGGGGATTTGTGTCTCGAGCAGAAATATGTAACTTTGATGACCTGTAATGTACACACAGTCTTAGATCACATAGGCAATGTCTTTATCCAAACGTTACAAATTATTATATTGTATTTCTCTCACCGTGTCCCGCCACCTATTAGATGTTCTGGTGTCCAATTAAAAATACAACTCACATTGTCATCGAGACGTCATTAATTTCATTATAACTATGTACGAGAACTTTTACTTTTGTCATGGGACCTTTTTTGCCAGTATAAAAGTATGAATAGTTCGAATTGGTTTTGCCCTTTCTGGCAATAAAACGCACTTGTGGTGAACATGCAAACAAACATGCTCTGATAAAATATGGCATTGTCATTGAAACTGATTGGCACGCTATATTAGAGAACGGACGATATCATCATCGCGGACTACATATTTCACGAGCTTTCCATAGAATCAGCAAACTGCGGCTAACCCAGCGGACAAAACCCAGCGGAAAAAGCAGTGCCGTGACGCATTTGAGGGCACACTGTTGTGCCCACGCACCGCATGCTGGCATACCTGGGTGGCCTGGAACTTCAATAACCTTGCTCTCGCACACACCAGTGTGTGTTTTAAATTAGATATTTCAACGACAAAAAGCGATACAAATAGAAATATTACCTTGTAAATACCCCATGCATCCATTCGCAAGCGTTATTCAACTGCCAACAACGTACAAAGACAAATATCCCCCGTATAGCCTTTACCAGACTGTTGGGGCAAGTGCTATTGGTGATAACCTATGAAGGCTTGCACGGTATACAAGGGGTGGCCAGCACCACGCCCTGCCGCTTTTGTCTCCCCAGTGATGATGTTTACACACCGCACTAGGTACTCATTTAAGTCTGAGTCGACCTTGGGGAGGCCCAGGACCGATTCAGATAATCGTCACTGGTGCTGGTGGCCGTGAGAGGAATCTAACTCGGATCGCCAGATTCATAACGCAGCACGATAACCACTACACTACTACTCCCCATATGTACATGCAATAGGCCTTTTCTTAATTCACTGCGGGGTCTATCTATTTTGAACTGCTTTCACACCGTACGTATCCAACCATGCTAACTGGAGGACAACGAACTAAACGCATGAAGCATATCTAAAGATAAGTCTTCCATGTGCATGTTCCACGTTCTAACGGTGTGCGTTCCACGTTCTAACGGTGCACATTCCACGTTCTAACGGTGCACATTCCACGTCCTAACTGTGCACATTCCACGTCCTAACTGTGCGCGTTACACGTTATAACGCCGCGTTCCACATTGTGCGAAAAGTGTTCCCTCATGGCGTAACCGCGTTACAGGAAAACCGCGTTGTGTGAACACGCATTAAGCGAGGACTTACCGGATTGCAGAGGAAATATTGCACGCGAAAAGACACTTTCAAATGTGACACTGGGAAATACATTGAAGTCTGATTATATTTACCTCCTCATATGTCTCCGTTTGTAAGGCGTCATTTGCTGCATCAAAATGAAACGTGCAATGCAACATGTTAATAAATTATGCTTCCACGCATATCCATGAGATATTCTAAACAAGTCGAACGTTGTTGAATACACACGAAATACCGAAGTTGAAACATGTTAAGCTAGCCAAAGCCTGTGCACACCAAGGCCGTAGCCATGGAGTCAACACTGGGGGGGACCAAATCTTCCAGGGGGTCTGGGGGTCCCCCCCCAGAAAAAAATCTAAATTTGAAAACTAATTTCCTGCCTAAAATATAAAAAAATTCACTAACACATGGGATGGACTTTTCATAATTTTTTTACAATAATGTCTAATAGTGTATTGTATTACATTACTCTTTTTTCCTTTTTACCTTGTTTTATTGTATGTAATGGCAGAGATTAGGGATTAATAAAGTACAACCATAACCACACTCATATAAACATACATCTATGCATTGTTATATGAAGACAAGTCCAGATATTGTGGCCAAGGTTTAGCAAATTGTTGTTTTTATTTACATAGCATAGCAATTTTGTAAAAAATTTTTTTATAGCAATATATTGGGGGGGGGGCATTTTGAGCATATTTGAATAATGGGGGGATGTGTAAATCCAGGGCAAAAAAATGGGATGTGTCCCCCCCAATATATTATAATTACGTCCTTGGTGCATACATTGATGAAATTAAGTTCCCATTATGGCAATGTAATGGCAATGTTTTTCACACAATCCCTTACATATTCAAGTATCATGTGGATTTTTATTTCAGTAATTGATTTATTTTATTGGTTTGCGCGGGGGTAAAAAAAGGAATCAGCCTCAAGCTGTTTTGCAAGTCACACGAGACACCAAAACTGTCTCCAAAAAGAAAAAAAATATATCTCAATGCCAGTATAGTAATGGCGTTCATAAAATTACGTATCTTTTTTATTTTTGCCTGTGCATAGTAATACTTGTAAAGTATACGTACACAAATACGCGTGATAATATACTACTTTTGCGTTGAATTTCAGGCTAATCAATCGCACAGAGCCACCCGTTAGATTTCGTGTGGATTTGGCCTTTAGTTCATCATTGATACGAATTAATTTCAGTTCGCGTAAAAGTCTTCAGCATTCTACTTTATAACGTGCGACCCACTCTGGCAAAATCCATACAACAATAACCAGGTTGCAGCAGATATCCAATTTCTGGTTGTGAGCAAACTTGCCCATTGGGTATGGTGATAAGATAACAATAACGCGTGCATCTCCTTGTTACAAACACAATTTTGATACTGTGTCTATACAGGCGTCCCTTGCATAACACGCGACATGCCTTGCTGAAAAATAGCACGTGAGTCAAATCGCGCTGCGCGAAGCCTATTCTCCTGGAGGCATACATACATATTGCCGAAGATAATTTAAGCATTTAATTTCATTTTTTTTTTGCCCTGGATTTACAAAATACGTATGAATGCAATACTTACGAATAATATTAACATTGCAAAAAATACTTCGTGAGGAGTTTAGTAAAAAAAAATATGACATATTAAACAGATTGCCACTGGCAAAGATTACTTAATGAGGTAGCAACTTTAGGGCTTCTTGAACGTTTCCATGGGTCTGCTGCTACTCAGATTCACGGGCTGGGCGCTGGCACCATCAGATTGAGATTTCAGTTGATTAACCTGCGAAATTTTGTTTTACTTAAAAAAATTTACCATTGACAATTATCTTAAAATTTTGAAAAAAAAAATAGATTTTACTACTTTTTTTTCATTTTTTTTGAGCGCGCAAGTATGTTCCTCAAAGATCGATTGGGTAACTGCGTATTTGCGCTGTGGAGGGAAGGCGTTACGCGAGAGACGCCTGTATCATCTGAATTAACGAATATGTTAGTTGGTCCATAATAGAGGTCTTTTGGGTTAGATCGCGTAAATATATAAATGTTGTGTCGTTAAAACCCGCCACCACCCGACACAGCCAACTAGTAAGGGTTGTCACATAAACAGAACGTGGCCAATTCGTCACTAGTGCAGCACACCGGTGTGTTGGAGAGCCAAGCCACAACATTTACAATGACGAATGGATGATATTGGTTGCGAAAGCCGACGCGTTAAAATGTGTGTTGGTGCTGACGTGGATTGTCAGAGCCAAGCCACAACATTTACAATGACGAATTGATGATATTGGTTGCGAAAGCCGACGCGTTAAAATTTTGTTGGTGCTGACGTGGATTGTCAGAGCCAAGCCACAACATTTACAATGACGAATTGATGATATTGGTTGCGAAAGCCGACGCGTTAAAATGTTTGTTGGTGCTGACCTGGATTGTCGTGCTTTATAGGCGCATATATTATTTGATTGGGACTTCTATCTTCCATCGCCATTGCATGTGCGACTGCAGTGTACAACCGATTACAATACAACAACACCAACATGATTTACGTTTGTAAAATTTTTCGTATTCTGTAAACGACTTTGTGGCTGTATACACCTAAAGGGTTCTGGCAACAAAGACCGCACACGTTTGAATGAGCCACATCAACTTAAAGTCACGTAGATAGAAAATTATGAATGGTGAAGACGGTCGCTTGTGTTGCGATCGAAACGTCGAGATCTCTTAATAATTTTAATAATTTCCTACCCACGTGACTTTACCGAAAGAACCAAAGAGTATGGATTCCTGCAGTCACGAAAGCTTCAAATCAAGATTTAACGGTGCATATCGAAAGATTTTATCAGTAACTGAAAAGCCATCTGGAGGTATTTATATCGAACCTTGCGCATACTAAGGGTGAAACCTATTCATTGTGAACATTCATATCGTAGTAAACGCCTCTTATTTCCCATCCGCGTCGTCACGAACCTTTTTTTAATAGTAGTGTGAAACAAAGCCAGAGTATTTCTCAATAGTCACAGAACACTAAGACGTTATTATACAAATAAGAACCCACACTGTGGCGGCTATAATGTGGCTACGACTGAGTCACAGCAATGACTTCTCCCTGCGGTGTTTCTGGGGAACTGTGGCCTGGCAATGTGCAAGGCTGTCAGTCTCGGGCTGTGAGTAGTTAGCGTGTTTGTGATAGGACAATTTGACAGTGGCTGAAACCATGTACAAACGCGTACACGAGCAGTTGGCGTGCTGCCAATTACCAACCACTCACAGCCATTAACACCAGTGGTGGTAATCTGCACCAGTTCTGGGCCTCCCCTAGGTCGACTCAGCCTCATACGAGTACACAGTGCTAAAAGTTTTGATTTAAAGCTTTCGTGACTGCAGGGATTCATATTCTTGGTTCGTTCGGTAAAGTCACATAGAAGGGAAACGATAAAATAATAAAAATATGAAACAATTTATTAAATCTAAAACATTTTTTTGTTTTATATTGTTATTGTTCTATATTTTTTATTATTGTATTGTTTCCCTTCTACGTGACTTTACCGAAAGAACCAAGAATATAGTGCTAAAAGTGTAAGAAGGAGACAAAATGTGTGGTGCTGACCACCCTTCGTCTAATGTGCCGTGACGGCCTTCATAGGTGCTCGCTAACAGCACTTGTCTTGAAGCGCTCTGGAGGCTATTCGGCAGATCTTTGTCTTTATTGCGTGTGACGAAAATTAAAAAAAAACGGAGGAGTATATCAGGAAAATATTCTGCAAGATTAGGCTTCACGAACAGTTGTTGCTATGGATTCTGCTGCTGGTGGTGCGCATGTCATTGCTGATGCTGCTGCTGCTACACACAAAGCTGTCTGTTATACGGCAAACAGACATCTGTGAGCATTACCCCTGCATTCACTGGTGACATTTACCATCCAATTAGATTCTCACGGCGAATTGGCTGTTTGATACTCTTTGGTTCTTTCGGTAAAGTCACGTAGGTAGAAAATAAAATAAATCGACGTTTCGGGCGCAACACAAGCGTCCGTCATCAGGTGGGAAAGCCCGAAACGTCGCGATTTATTTAATTTTCTACCTACGTGACTTTACCGAAAGAACCAAAGAGTATGGATTCCTGCAGTCACGAAAGCTTCAAAGCAAGATTGGCTGTTTGATGTTTGTGGTCTACGGACACCGGGTGGAATAGAGGACGACTTTAGCAACGGACGGTGGTGAGGTCACAAGTGCGGTCACACGCGAATAACGTTGAATTCCGTCAATGGATGTAAACACAACATCTTATTTTATATTCATAGAGCCACTTAGCCCAAGGCGCTTTGCAGGGGTTTAAAAGCGGTAACAGAACTGGAGTGATTTAGAATGGCAAAGTCGTACAAGGGCTGTGGAATGAGCGATCGCAATAGGGGGGGCACGTGGTGGGTCACGAAAGGGCTACAGGGAAGGGAGGGGATGGAGGATTGGGGTGGAGGGGAGGGAAGAGGAAAGGAACGGGGAGTGGAGAAGAGGTGAAATTTTACGAGAGGAACGGACGGAGGGGGACTGCTCAACGTACAGAGAGGAAGGTGCTTCGAGTGGAGGGGTTGCAGGGAGGGAGAACGATCGAAAACGAGATCGGGCACGGGGGAGAAGCAACTGACGGAGAGAGACGGAGAAGTCTGTTAATGTCTTAGGTGGGAAACAGGTACAGAAAATTCCAATCGACGGCTTACCTGATCGCCTTGAGTGTCGTACACACAGAACAATGGTGACGCTCACGGCAACTAGAAATAGAACACCCACGGGCACTGAGATAGCCACTGGGCATTGAAGCGAGGGGCAAAATGAAGAATTCGGCTCAGGAGTCACGTTTGTAATTGAGGGACTTGTGGTTGTTTCACGCCAGTCACCTCTGTAATCTGAAAAATAAAATGAAAGTATATCGAACAATATTATTTATACTACATCTACAGCTAAGTGTAATTTTGCTGTCTTGCGTGTAAATTGCGTTTATTTGTACTTGATGCTTTACTTACATTTACTGGTTGATGACTCTTCTGGAGGAACTTTGGGATGAACTGAAACAAAAGGAAATGGGCACTTCTGTAATAACTCTGTTATGTCTTTATACAATTGCGCTACGTGAAATTATAATCCCTTGTGATGCATTAGCTAACTATGCTGAATGTATACATGTGAGAATGTGTGTTATTGACAGCCTAGCTTTGATTCATTTTCAAATGTTGATGTTTTTTGACTGACACACCACATTAGCAAACTACGCTTGTGAAAGATGTCAGAATATTTAACATCCAGTTCACAGATACAGTAAACGTATTTGACAATAATTTCAGTCCATTGGCAGTATATCTTTACATAGTTTTCAACTTCAATGATCAAAGTGCAATCCGGTATTACTTAACACGTATTCTCAATATCCATATTCTGTATATTCAAATGATGACTTTTCTAATATTGAGAGCAAACGTGCAATATATACAGCCGTGTGCTGTTAACAGTCCGATGATCACTTTGGGGCGATGTTAAACATTCCCTTCTGCTCCCAAGTTGAAGATGTTATCATTTTAGTTCGTTGGATACCACTCGTCAAAAAGGGTGTCCTAAAGTTATATTTTCCATTACTTTTCCGATATCTAGCTCAATGGATTTTCTAAGATAGTCCTACTCCTTGAAACCTTTGAAACAATCCATACACGTTTCGCACGTATTATTGTATGTACGCGTTAATGAGTGATGTTCAAATGTTAATGCCGAAATTGACGTACGGTGTTGGCCTTGAAAATTACGTTAGATAATGGTTTGGATAGCTCCTTAACCACGTTTAAATTGCAGAATCTTAGTGGCATGCACAGCTACTGTACTAGATGATCAGACTGTATATCATGCAAGAGGGAGGGTGCGATGGCCATGGAGTGCACAGATAGAAATATAATATTTAAAACAACTCTTACCCGTCAGATTAATCGTTTCAAGGTGCATAGCAGCGTTTCCCCATGCTTTACAGAAAAACACCCCTGAATCGTTCAGCTGCAGATTTGTAATATTTATGGAAAAACATCCTTCTTCAAAATCAGCGTCTAAAATCTCAACCCTTTCGTGGAACCGCGATGTTTTTTCTGGTTTGTTAATTATTTGAGAAGAAAACTGTTCAATGACAAGCTGTTTAATATCAAGCTGAGGCAAGAATTTATCCAAAGAACTCGTCCAGTACCATGAAACTGCTCTTTGTGATTGTTGGTTTTCTCGTTCAAACCAAAGCGCATCAGAGGCCTTGCAGGCCAACCTGATACTTTCTCCTTCTTGGGGTGTTAAGTATTTAGGTGTAGGAGATGCACAAATTAGACGTGAACCTGAAATACAACACTGCAATTAAATTATGGCAAGTTCATCTGAGCATATCCAGCCATTTGTACGCATTTACATATATACACACACACACAGTATCATATATTTCCTAGATTGGTATAGCTGTTCCGTTTTTTTTGTAAATGGATTGTATTATTCATGTGATATTGTATCCGTTGGTTTGTGAGAGCTTGGATGAATGCATCAATTTCCACTGAGTTAACTGCTTTTTCCATGGTTTCCAAAGACTATGCGTAAATTGTGTTTGGCATTCACGAGTGTTTCAGAATATGATCGATAGTGGAAATACACTTCCCAAAAGTGTCTCGTTATTTGAGTTAACTTTAGCAACTTTTTAAAATAGAAGAATTGTCGAAGTGTCATTCCACGATTGCGGTGTGTCAATTGTGTGTTAACATTTGGTACAGTACATGGGTTAGCTAATTTTGTTCCAACAACTGGTTGCATGTATGTATGTTGAACTTCTTTCGCACCATACGTAGCCAACCGTGCTAATCGGAGGTGGTTGTGCATCTTATGATGTCTTCGATTATACCATACGATCCAGGTGCCTCCCTTTGATGTGTAAAGTCATCTAAATATTCTGATACATCTTTCTCTGCCCTGAAGAAGGAAAAATGCCTGAAACATCAACACATCGGTTTTGTTCAACTATAATACAGCAGTAATGACAATATTAGTGTTTACGCGTTATTATTTGTAATACGACGATAGATATCAAGTTTTACAAAACACGAAACACGTTCAATCTGTTGGTGGTGCTATCGGCAGATCGTCGTTATAAAACACATACATTCGTAAATCTTCCAGAGCAGTGCTCCCATTGTGTCAGGGATTGTTTCAAGTCTTTTTTTCTTCTCCAGTTTTATACACAAAATCGATATTTGAAAAAAAAAAATTTCTTCTGTAATTTAGCCAATATCAGCAAATGAAAAAAAAACGTTACAAGACGGTTATTCGTACAGTCCCCCGGTGACTGGGCTGAGACCATCAACTCAACTACACTTGAGAACCGGGCTTATTACGGGCAGCTGAAACATGTGTTCGAACCCAGATTCTCAGCGGCGTGAACACAGTGCTGTGACCTAAGAGCCACCTCGAGTAATATGCCGTTGAATATTATTTCGCTTATCTTCCATAATATTAATCATCAACTGAAATTGTATACCACAAAAGTGAAATATATAATTTTTTTTTTAGAACTGCTTTTTGTGTTTAGTTTGTTGTCCTTCCTCTGCACCTCCAGTTAGCACGGTTTCCAACGAAAGGAGTTCAACATAGATATATATTGAAAAAGTAAAATAATATATCGCGATGACAGATCAAAATGTACAAAATGCTGTTTTTTTTAATAGTAATGCCATACACTGCTTTAGATGATTAAGTTCAAGTACTCTATTTTCTTTTTCACGCTCATATATATTTTTTAAAGTACAAACATTTCAATATTGTATTTCATGTCATATTTACCTTGGCAGAGAAGGCACTGCAGAAGCCAACAAATGATCCAGGACACGAGCACTCCCATAATTTCCACCGTAAATTGAGCTGCCACATGAATTGCTCTGATGCATTAAGTCAGCATAACGCTCCTTTGCCTAAGGATTTCTTAATTCCCACATCCGGACTATGAATCGACTGCAAGGTGCCTGGTGGATATCTGTTGTTGCCAGGCCTTCCTGCCGCCGTGGGCAAGGCTGGTTGTTGGGAGTGATTAGATAGGCAGCTTGGCAAGCATTTCGGAGGGAAATAATGGCGCATGCGAGTTGATAAGGAATCCAGATTAGTGGTTATTTGGAAAATAGCTATTTACATATGCGTTTTTCGTGAGCTATTTTTAAATACGAACCACGTAGCTGCGCCGCTGGGCAGAAGTTGATAGTGCAATAAATATCAGATAAATGTAGGGCTGAGAGGCCATTTAGATAAATTACAACAAACCGTGACACGCGTTTGATCTTATTTCTTAAATATGCATAGAGCACACGTTTTCGATCAATGGTACCGGTGTAGAGTGTTCACTGAGTTAAAAGATGCCAATGTTTTTAAAATTCTGATAATTCCTTGCACAGCGCTACAGTGAGGGAAAAAAGTACTTGATCCCCTGTTGATTTTGTACGTTTGCCCTCTGACAAAGAAATGATCAGTCTATAATTTTAATGGTAGGTTTATTTGAACAGTGAGAGAGAATAACAACAAACAAATCCAGAAAAACGCTTGTAAAAAATGTTATAAATTGATTTGCATTTTAATGAAGGAAATAAGTATTTGACCCCCTCTCAATCAGAAAGATTTCTGGCTCCCAGGTGTCTTTTATACAGGTAACGAGCTGAGATTAGGAGCACACTCTTAAAGGGAGTGCTCCTAATCTCAGCTTGTTACCTGTATAAAAGACACCTGTCCACAGAAGCAATCAATCAATCAGATTCCAAACTCTCCACCATAACCAAGACCAAAGAGCTCTCCAAGGATGTCAGGGACAAGATTGTAGACCTACACAAGGCTGGAATGGGCTACAAGACCATTGCCAAGCAGCTTGGTGAGAAGGTGACAACATTATGAGACCTCCTTTGCCAGTAACAAGATATAGGAATAGGTTTTACCCTTTTAACTGGCACAAAAACTGACACCTTTATTCAAGGCATCATGTTTGCAATAACCACAACACAAGCAGTCAAAATGCAAACAAAAAAGACAACTCTGATAATATGCACTGTCCTTGAATTTGATTGGTCCACACCCGAGACAGCTTTTCTTAGAGCCTAGTCTCCAATGGTGTTGGACCAGAAGACGCCAAAAGGCGTACAACTCAAAAACAGTGCGCTGCTTTTGAGTTGTACGCCTTTTGAACTCGATACATTAGACAGGACTCTCCTACAAGCTCATTTAACGTTAACACAAAAAATGTCACCTTCTGATTGGAACCACGTAGACAACATGACTGCTTCTTCTGCCGATTCACTTTCAATCAAATGCAAAGCTAACCTAATTGCTAAATTCAACCACCTATCAAAGAAAAACCCGGTTCCACAGATCACAAAACTAGACGTTAACAAAATTGTTATCAATCAGAGTAGCACCCCGATTTCGGACAATCTGAAAACAGTATTGGCTAAAGGACTAAATTTTGCTGTCACCCCAAAATATATACCGATAGATGATATTATTTCTCAGGTCGATGTAGCCCTCAAAGGTATAGGACACATCCAAGCAGACGTCGCGAGAGCTGAAATAGCTACTATTCTTAAGAATGCTAATAAACCCGTCAGCAACGTCAGCAAAGATGAACGCTCTGAACTCGCGAAATTAAAAGAGAGACATGATATAGTTATCCTCTCAGCCGACAAGGGCAATGCCACTGTAATTATGGATAAAAACTCATACAAGAATACAATTCAGGACCTACTCAATGATGGTAGTTTCTCAAAAATTAAAAATGACCCTACTAATAGCCTAACTATAAACACCAACAAGATCATCACTAGTTCGACCTCCCTAATCGAACCAACTAAACGTCCCTCCCTAAAACCTTCTGCTGCAAGACCCCCTAGATTCTATGGTCTTACAAAGATTCATAAAGAAGGTACTCCACTACGACCCATCGTATACACGATCAACTCCCCTACCTATAAGCTAGCACGTTTTCTGTCGGATACCTTGCTACCTTTCACTGGCAAGACCTCCTCAGCAGTACTTAACTCAGCCCAATTGGTCTCTATGGTCAAAGACGTTGTACTGTCCCCTGACGATATCCTTGTCAGCTTCAATGTGGTCTCCTTGTTCCCCAAGCTCCCGGTACCTGATACCATTGAAAGAATTGAGAATTTGGTACAACATGGAGGCACTGCCTCACCAACACCTACTTTACTTGGAATGGTTCCTTCTACAAGAAAAATGAGGGTACTCCCATGGGTTCCCCCTTGTCACCAGTGATAGCCAATGTTTTCATGGAGAAATTTGAATCGGACGCCATCCAAACTTCCACCCTCAGACCTTCCCTGTGGAAGAGATATGTGGATGATACTTTCGTCATTTGGCCACATGGCCTCCCAGCTCTGAACCTTTTCCTACACCACATCAATTCTAGACATCCCGCCATCAAAATCACCATGGAAGTGGAGAAAGATGGCAGGCTACCATTCTTGGATGTTCTGTCTGAGAGGAGACCTGATGGCTCATTGGGGCATTCTGTCTACAGGAAACCCACCCACACGGATTCCTACTTGAAACCTGATTCCCACCACCACCCAGCTCAAAAGAACTCTCTCATCAAAACTTTATACCATAGGGCTCATTGCATTTCGGACCAACACCACCTGACCAGTGAATTAAAACATGTACACCTGGCCCTCAAAAGGAATGGATACTCTGACCGAACCATCCGCCAAGCTGTTTCTCCCTCCATACAGAAACAACCACTTGATACTTCGGTCAAAACCATCACACTACCATATATAGCAGGCGTTACTAAAAAGATTTCCAAAATTCTAAACAAACACAAGATCCAGGTCCGGTTCAATACAGTACACAAAATTCGTGATCTGATCCTATCCGTGAAGGATGTCATTCCTGACTTACAGTACCCCGGAGTTTACAAATTGAGTTGTACCTGCGGTGATTGCTATATGGGGGAGACGAAGCGACATGTCTCTGACCGAATTCGCGAGCACAAATCAGATTTGAAACACGGCAGAACGTATTCTTCTGCCGTAGCTGATCACTGTTACAACGCTGTGGGTGATCACGATATAATTTTCTCCGATACCAAGGTTCTTTGCAAACCCACGGGTTTTCATCACAGATTTTCTTCACGAGGCCATTTAGATTTACAAACACAGACACAATTTCAACCGAGAAGATGGTTTCTAATTAAGCAACCATTGGAAAGATGTTCTAAATCGAACCAAACATTAAACTAATTTTCAATGGTACAGTATATTTTTTTCAAATAGTGGTGCCCCAAACTTTCGCAGCTCTTAAAATTCCCTTTTCACACCATCCAAGTTTATACCCAGTTGCTGTTAATAGCTCAGCTTATTGAAGAATATATTGAGTACATTTATTATATTGATGTAATTTAGACTTCGTTTTTTCACATCAGTTTGCTGTATGATAGTTGGGTAGCTGTATGATAGTTGCGTAGCCCGGCTCCTTTGGCGCCCATGTACTAGGTGCCTCTGTGGATGTGTAGGCTTTGACTTTAACATAGCTATTTCTGTGACCAGCCATAAGCTGGTCCCTCGGCTGTTTCAATGCTAAATTCTCCTGTTTGATGTGTAAACTCCTTTGTCGGGGTGCCTTACTTCTCTCACCCAGCGTTCATTGGAGCTCTGTCATCCCGACAGTTTTGTTCCTTCACCTTAATCCCTCTCACACAGCTTAAAGGCCGTGGTCTGAGCTTGGCTCTGTTTCACTCCAGCGCAGTCTTCGAGACAGTCTGGTCCCTTCACCTGATGAAGGCCGCCTGTGTTGTGGTCGAAACGTCGTGATTTTTGTTGTTTTATTTTTTACCTACGTGACTTCACCGAATAGAACCAATGAGTATGGATCCTTGCAGTCACGAAAGCTTCAAATCTAGAAGCACATTAAGGTCCTGGAGTGGCCTAGCCAGTCTCCAGACCTTAATCCCATATAAAATCTGTGGAGGGAGCTGAAGGTTCGAGTTGCCAAACGTCAGCCTCGAAACCGTAATGACTTGGAGAAGATCTGCAAAGAGGAGTGGGACAAAATCCCTCCTGAGATGTGTGCAAACCTGGTGGCCAACTACAAGAAACGTCTGACCTCTGTGATTGCCAACAAGGGTTTTACCACCAAGTACTAAGTCATGTTTTGCAGAGGGGTCAAATACTTATTTCCCTCATTAAAATGCAAATCAATTTTTAACATTTTTGACATGCGTTTTTTCTGGATTTTGTTGTTATTCTGTCTCTCACTGTTCATATAAACCTACCATTAAAATTCTAGACTGATAATTTCTTTTCTAGATTTAAAGCTTTCGTGACTGCTAGGATCCATACTCTTTGGTTCTATTGGGAAAAAGTCACGTAGGTGAAAATAAAATAACAAAAAATGTATATGCTCTGACTTTAACATAGCTATTTCTGTGACCAGTTACAAGCTAATCACTCAGCTATTTCAATGCTAAATTCTATGCTAATCCCTTTGTCAAGGGGTACCTCTGCGGATGTGTATACTTTAACTTAGCTATTTCAATGAGCCATTTCAATGCTAAATTATATGCTAATTCCTTTGTCAAGGCGCTTTGTGTTTTTCTTCTCACACAGCTTAAAGGTCGCGATCTAAGCGTGGCTTCTTCCACTCCAGCGCTGTCCTCTAGACAGTCTCGTCCCTTCACCTGATTAAGGCCGCTTGTGTTGTGGCCGAAACGTCGTGATTTTTTGTTATTTTATTTTCACCTACGTGACTTTACCCAATGGAACCAAAGAGTATGATCATTTCTTTGTCAGTGGGCAAACGTACAAAATCAGCAGGGGATCAAATACTTTTTTTCCCTCACTGTATATGGCTGTCAATCTATCGGCCCCATTAAAAGTGGCTGAATAAGAGGCCGTCCATAAAAAAAACGTCACGCACCTAGGGGCGGGGGTCAGACATTTGTGACGATATGTGACGTCACATCAAAATGCGCAACTTTAAATAAATATGGACAACACGTTCTACTTAATTAAATATACTTTTTAATAAATGTTTTCTCATGCAAAATCAGAGTGCAGCGCTGCATTAAAAAGGCACTACAATGACAATAGTTTAAAGCGATTTGAAGCATGTTTTATTTATTTTGGGGGGGTGCGGGGGGGCAGAGCTTTGTGACGTCATATTTGAGGGGAGTCTGACTTTGTCACGTCGTGTGACGAAGGGGGGGGGGGGTTAAAAATC